GTGTGTGTGTGTGTGTGTGTGTGTGTGTGTGTGTGTGTGTCCTAGGGCTTGAACTCAGGATCTGGGTGCTGTCCCTAAGCTTCTTTTATACAAAGTTGGAGCTCTACCACTTGAGCCACAACTCCATTTCCAGCTTTTTGGTGGTTTGTTGGAGATAAAAGTCTCACAGCTTTTCCTGCCTGGGCTGGCTTCAAACTGCGATCCTCACAAGCAGCTAGGATTATAGGCATGAGCCCCTAGTGCCCGGAAATCCTGGTTATTTTTGAAATAGGGTCTCCCTTTCTGGGTGCTCATGTGAGCCAGCCTAGCTAGGATAACAGGCTCATGCCACATGCCTAACTCTCCATTGAGAACGTCTTAATGAATGTTTCTGCTCAGGCTGGCTCCAAACTACAATTCTGCCCATCTCAGCCTCCCAACTTGCTAGGAGAACCACATGAGCCACCACATCTGATTGCTTTCTATAATTATTGATGGGCAGTCAGTGTGCAGATCAAAGGAGGAACTGTCCAGGCACTTTCCTCCTCAGACAAGCTTGCTGAGTCCTAGGGCCAAGGGTACATGTCAGCAAGCCAGGAAGGGGAGAAGGTTTTCCTGTATGTGTCACAGATCAGAGAAGGAATATGATACTTAGAGCAAAGAACATATTGCGTATGTGCTTTTATTGTCTGGCCAATGTGTTTAATGAGCCTGCCACCAGTGGCTCATGCCTCTAATCCTAGCTATTCAGGAGGTGCAGATGCAAGGGGTGAAGGCAGGTAACAATGGAACAGACACCCCTGGGAGTTCTGGACCTCTAGATGTGGGGCTGTGGACCCATGAGCATGCTCCCAAGGGTAGTGCCATGGTAGGGGAGGGTCCCAAATGTCCTTGGCCCATTCTGACTAGCTTACATATTCCACACACAACAGGGTGGTATGCAGACAAAGGTGAACACCAGAGAAGCGTTGCACCAGAGCTGTGGTGGTGACAGGGTTGTCAGATTCCAGATGACAAAGTGAATGGATGGTGGGACCACCTGATTTAGAAGGCCTCAGAGGAAAAGATAGTGGAGCTAAGACCTGCAGGATGAGTGAAGTCAGGTAACACGTGACAGGTGAAAGTAGGTGCGAAGATACTGAGTTTGATGCTGAGGGATCAAACTGGGACCAAGTTCAGTTTATGTGAGAAACTAATGGGAAAACAACTCAAATAATTCACAACAAATGAAGGAAAACTAGTTTCAAGAGGCAGGGATCAAGTCACCCGGGGAAAACTGGGCCTGGCAGCACATACCTATAATCCCAGCTGCTCAGGAAAGAGAAGTAAGGGATCGAGAGAGATTCAAGGCCAGTCTGAACAGAAGTCAGGAACCCTATTTGACACACAAACTAAAAGCAAAAGGACTGAAGATGTGGCTCATATCATAAAACCCTGGCCTAGCAAGTGTGAGGCCTTAAAGTCTCGTACCACAAAAACAAAACAAAACAAACAATAGCAACAACAACAAAGTCCCACAGAGATCAGGGTTGAAATCCAGATATGTTTTCAATGGTGAGCCATTGTTCTAAGAAGACTAATGGGACCATGAGGATAAAACCAGAGTCTCAGAGCTTCAGATGGGACCAGGGGCAGCAGCGCCTGTTTCATTGGGAGATAGCATGGAATTCACCCCGAGCTGGCCAAACTGGACACTGAGGAAATCCAAATTGCTGCACAGCACCCTTCTGAAGGAAAATAGAAGACAGAGACAGCAGGAAAGGAGCGAGCGACCACACAGCTGTCACTACATTTCATCTGAGTCCCCTGAGCCCCATGAATGAGAAGCAGGCAGGGAGGTGGCAGCCTGAGTAACAGAGAGAGAAGTGGAGAGAAATTCAGAGACTTGAGCATTCATTCATTCATTCATTCACTCCATAGTAGGTGAGTACATGGAGGTACAAGGTGAGTGAGATGTTTCTAGCCCTGGAGAATTTCAAAAACTAGGCAAGGCTCTATTGCTCACAAATTAGGGGAACAGTGCCAGTGACCCCAAGTAGGCCTACTTTCTAATATTCAGGAGTATCTTGTATATTCATAGCATTCATTTACTTAAGACAAACAGACATAGGCCAGGTTTTAAATAGCCGAACTGTCCCCATGGCAGATTTTATTGGCATCTGAATGAGACTGGTCAGAAATAGTAGAAATGTCAAAAATCTTACAAATTTTTTTTTTCTTGTCAGTCCTGGGGCTTGAACTCAGGCCTGGGCCCTGTTCCTGAGCTTCTTTGTGCTTAAGGTTAGTGCTGTACCATGTGAGCCTCGGGATCATTTCCAGCTTTTCTGAGTGGTTTATTGAAGACAACAGTCTCATGGACTTTCCTATCTGGGCCAGCTTTGAACTGCAATCCTCAGATCTCAGCCTCCTGAGTAGCTAGGGTTACAAGCATGAGCTACCAGCACCTGGCTATCACAGCCTTTTTTAATTTTTATTTTTATTTTTGCCAGTCCTGGGGCTTGAACTCAGGGCCTGGGGACTGTCCCTGAGCTTCTTTTGCTCAAGGCTAGTACTCTGCTACTAGAGCCATGGGTCCGTTTCCAGCTTTTTCTGTTTATGTGGAACTAAGGAATCAAACCCAGGGCTTTATGCGTGCTAGGTAAGCACTCTACCACTGAGCCACCTTCCCAGCCCCACAGTCCATTTTTATATGGAAGAAGTTTAGATGTGATATATTTTTGGATAAAAAAGAATTTTAGCTGGCCATTTTACATGCACGAACGCACTTTTAACTCAACATTTGCACAACCTTTAGATACATCTACATACCATTTTTTTGGCATACATGTATAGAACTCTAGATGTGTTCGAATCACTTAAAAAGCTTAGACATTCTTTTTACCAGTGATAAGCTGCTCCTCTGAAAGACTCTGATATAAACAGATATCCTTAACCGTGGGTTCTCTGGGAGCTTCATATTCCTGCTGATTGCCAAGACAAAGGCAAATCCCTGGTTCCCCAACAGCCCACTGGCAAAAATGCAAATCAGTTTAACTGAACCCAAAAGGGGCTCCGGAGAGCCTTCATACCATAGAGAACTCAGAAGCTTTCCTGCCAGACAAACAACAGAAACTCAGATAGCGTGGCTGGATCCCAAATGGTGCAGAGCATAGGAAAAGGAACAACAAGGCATGGCTGGGGGAACGCACCAAGGGTCAGGACCCGTAGACTCCAAATATTCATTTTTCTCACCAAATAAGGGCCAAAAAAAAAAAAAGCCCAAGCGGAAGGATATAAAGTTGCTGGCATAACAGGAATTCCAGGCACCGTGGGAACCAATTCCATCTTTTCTCTTCATCCAGGATCAGCTAGCTATCAGTGGCTAATGCATGGAAAGGGTGCATTTTGTCCATTTTTATGTGGTCATTAACTCTATTACAGGAGATTTTAGCTCCCAAGCTCCAGCTCCTGGGTTTCCTAGGTCAGGTCTGGCCACTTAGCCCAATACACCATATAAAAAGACACGAGGTGGGAAGGGTAGAGAAAGGGGGTTTATTATGTGGCCTGTACCAGTGGAAGAGAAAAGGGGGCATTTTAGCCCATTTCTCCAGACATTTGCTTTAGGTTTAAATTAGAGGAAGAACAAGGGACAGAAGAAGAGGTGTGCATACTTGGTAAAGGGTCCC